CAGATTAAGCAGTTGTGGATGATTTTTTGCTGCCATTAGAGGCTTCAGAGTGAATACTTAATATGAAAGCGTGGTAAACTGCATGCATGGGACCTGCCTATATTACATATATGTGATTCATGTTATCTGAATGGAGGAAGATGTAGCATAAATTGTCAATACAACTGGGACAACTTACAAAACCAGAAAATTTGCTTCTGAATGAGATTTTTGTTCATTATCCAAAAGAAATGTGAGCCAGAGGACATGCTTACAGCAGGGTGACTTCTTCATTTGTGATAGATTTGTGCATGGCACTGAGAACAAATCTGGGAATACAAGGTGACTGTACATCCATAGACAAATGGAATCAACTACTTTTTAATAGTTTATTAACACATCAATCAGCTTTTCAAAATCAAAACCTTTTAGAAATGTTTGCTGATTTAGTGTTTACAACTGCATTGCTTGCAGTGCTTCTTTCAGGTGAAGAAAAAATAGCCCCCATTAAACCTTTCTTTATTATGACCATATTGCCATATTGGCTAGAGCTGTTTTAAAACAGCTTATATATATATATATATATATATATGAAAAAGAAGCAGTTTCTGGCAGACAAAAATCCTTTGCAAAAGAGGTTTGACAGAGTTCAGTAATACATTGCACCATGCTCTTTTCACAGTGAATGGAATTGTAGGACAAGTGGAAAGAGGTCACCTGGCCTTTAGTATACGCATTACAAAGTCACATCTTATTCTAGTAATTTTCATTAACAGTAAGATATTTTTCTAAATTACAATAACCTTTATACAAATGTATTCTTCAATAGAGCTATGCTATCTACAGCATATTTAACATATGTAATTAAGTTGTTCCTAGCCTTGACCATTTGGGAAAAAAATTTCCATCCTATTTATATTTTGAAGCATTTTTCTGTTACTTTTCAGTATCATGAAAAGTGAAGTACAAACTTCACAAACCAGGAACTCCGGTCAAACACCAGGTTAGTCAATAGAGATGCTCAGGGAATTCACTCTTTAATGCACTAGGTTATTACTACTACTGCTGGATCCTGGGTTGCTGTTGAAATTTACTTTCGTGTTTAATGTGGGATGAATGAGTAAACAGTTCCTAGACTGCAGAAGGGCCAAATCCTATAATACAGTAGTTATGTTTACTTGGTGTATGGGAACTGAAGGTTAAAATTGCTGCTCCTGTAATTTGGGATGAGGAGAATATGAGATATGGGGAAAAAATTGGCTCAACCCTGAACACTTGCAAAAGAAGCCCCAAAGCAGAGGGAAGTGTTGATCTGTGGGAAAATCAGCTGTTGCAGGCAGGCAATTTTTTCTGAGGAATGGGAGTTTCTGAGTTATGATTCCATTCAGTCTCCAAGATTAATGCAGCCTTAAACTAACCTTAGAGGCATAGCGACTTTTTTATCTTATGACTGGGATTACCATCATTTTTTAGAAGTTTAAGGACAAATGAATTGACATTTTTAATAAAAAAAATACACAACATGGTTGGAAAATTCAAATTTTTGCTCTCTGTATGAGATAGACTTAGGAGAACAGATGTCATTGTTGGAATTATTTCAGTAGCTCCAAAACCACCTAAAATACTTAGGAGCATTGCTTAAAAAATTACATGAATCTTTCAAAAATATAAGCTTCCAGAAACATACTATTTCACGCTAACAGTATCAGAAATAGTGTGGCCAGCAGGATCAGGGCAGTGATGGTCCCCCTGTACTCAGCACTGGTGAGGCTGTGCCTCAAATCCTGTGCTTGTTTCTGGGTCCCTGACTGCAAGGAGAACATTGAAGCACCGCAGTGCTCTGTTGTTGGAGGACAGCAGGGGTGGTGAAACATCTGGCCACAAGTCTGAGGAGCAAGTGAAGGAGCTGGAGTTGTTTAATTTAAAGAATATGAATCTCAGGGGACATTTTATCACTCTCTACAACTACCTGAAAGGAGTTTGCAGCCAGCTGGGCGTTGGTCTCTTTTAAAAGTAGCAAGGCATAGGGTGAGAGGAGGTGGCCTCAGGTTTCACCAGCAGGGGTTTAAATTGGATATTGGGAAAAACTTGTTCATGGAAGTGATGGTCAGGCATTAGAACAGTCTGTCCAGGGAAGTCATTGAGTCACCATCCCTGGAGGTATTTAAATGATGTAGATGTGGTACTTAGGGCCACAGTTGGACTTGATCTTTTGCAGCCTTAATGACTGCATGATTTTATGGCTGGTATGCACAGTATGAAAAAAGTACAATGTGATAGGAGCACAGAAACTTGGTTTGAAAACTCATTGATGTAATCCATCTTACGAGATCTCAAAATGAATATAAAATCCTCTCAAACCCAAGAACTTAGTTGCAAAAGTGTATTCCAGTCAAAAATAGGAAAATGATTGTTTCACAACATATAGGAGAAATAGAATTCCCACTTACATTGTAAATAAACACATACTAAGTTACAATAATTTCTTCTGAAAATATATTAAAATGTGATATTTTACATCTTTAAAGAACATAAAAAAGGAATAAAGGGTGTTTCAAATATTACAGATAACCTTATGTCACATACCTGTTAGGTGATACATCTAATAGCTTGATGTAACCATGTTTTCCAAATTCTCATTACAATTGCATTGTTTTTTCCAGAAGTACACTGAGCCAGTGTCACACTGGGAACCACACTAAAGAGAAAATCCTTGCAATATGTTACTGATATGTGTATTGAAGATTTTGGGGTGACATAGTATCCAAATCAAAATATTCTGGGACACAACTACTTCTTTCACTCAAAAATACTTGAAATAGGGATTACAGTCCTAATAATTGTACACACAGTTTTTGTCTACAGGTACTGCATATATCACAGTATTTTTGATATTTTTTTAATTCATAGGAATAAAAATATGTGGTATTTGATTTTATATTTACCATATGATGATCATATTTTTTATCAAACAATTAAAAGACTACCTCCCTGGGGAAGCTAGTATTGAAATTTGTTATGTACATTCATACTTGTGTCTATATGTATTCATTGCCTATAAATAACTATTTCTTATAAATATTTTACATAAATCAAAAATAGTTTAAGGGCAAGGTTGAGTATTTCGTTTGTTTCAATACAAAATTAACTATATTTGTGTATCACCTGGGAAAGTATTGCACCATCATTGGGCTATAAGTAATTTGGAACAATATTGAATAAAAGAACAAAACATGGAGGGTGGCTGAGATTATGACCCTGTATCTATTACTTCTGAAAGAAAATAGAGATTGAAGAACATCTATATTTCATTGACAGAGATATTTTACCTAGTTAATTATGTACTGGATATATATAATGAATCCACTGGTGTACTGCATAAACAATATCTTTTGTACAACAGCATTGAAGATGGACACTTTAAGTGGAGATAGAGTATCAGTCACTGCTTTTCACATTTTTGCTCACTAATCATCATCACTGCATACATAGTGGCAGTGCTTCCAGAAAATGCCTGTAGAAATTGTGTCTCTGGAAGACAAATAAACTAGTGCACTGATCCCAAAACTGTATATACTTTAAAAGTTTAAATACTTTAGTAATAGTAAAGACATTCTGTTTTACAATCATGGATTAAGATTTAATTGGTGCCTTGGATTTTGAGGGATATAAATATAGTCAACAGTATAATTTAAATAGCAAAATAAAAGAAGTTAATAATATTTATTTAAATATGATGTATCTGTTACAAATTTAGACTTCATACATAAACAAGTTAAAGTATACTGTTCTTTTTCAGCATGTACTGAAAAGACACTTCAAAATAAAGAAAATCCAAGAAAATAATTATTAGCATGCTTAGATAATTTTATTTCTTTAGCAGCTATGTTAATTTCTAAGCTAAATTATAAATTGAGTTTCCTATTCCTGTTTCACTCCTTATCAAGTAACTGTTTACATTACAGAGGGCTACTTGCTATGGGAGTAAGCATAGTATAATGGAATGCTGGGTGCAAGGATTGCTTGGTGTATTTTTATTTTTTTAGTCAGAAAACAGAAGTATTGCCCAAGGATGAGGACGTTGAAAAGTATGCTTATTTCCTTTTACTCCCATAAGCACAGGCTGTGACACGTCTGAGCATAAATGTTCATGTGTGTGTGCATGTCTCTGTGTGTGTGTGCATGTGTACACCTGAAAAGTGTTTTAAGAAAGCCTATTGAATACAAATTAAAACATATTTTTCACTAAATCTTTCAATAAAGAAATGCAAGTTCTTTATCATGGTAAGTAAATATTTTCAGTCAATTTCTAGGTTTTTCTAAAGAGCAGAAGATGTAGTATATTTTCAACCAAGGTTGGTTTTGGACCAATTTCATGAATAAAGATTGACTCAACTCTATTTCACTTTTGTTTACAGTCTTGTTTTAAACAGCTTTTTGGTCATATGGGAAGCAATATTAACTTTTAAGGAGGTGTTTATGGTTTGTCTTGGTCAAATCAAGTTGTGTAAAGCTCAAACGATCATTTTATTTACATTATTTCCATCCAAAATTCAGGTTGTGGCTATTTCTTAATAAATTTTAATGAGGATGAATAAAATGTTGTTATTGAAGAAAGTAACTCAAGGCATTATTTCCTCAAGGTTACAGAACAGAATAAAAAAAATTGCATTTCTTGTGTAAAAACATAATTTTGTAATTTTTAACATACTTTTTTGGTTTATATTATTCTTTTTTAATAGCACATTAATTTGGGTTTTTTTTTGAAGAAATCACTTTTAACTAAAGTACTGCATTGTCACAGAATATGATACATTTTTTCAAATATTTTCAATTTGTTCTTCTTGACATTTTATGTTTATGTGCAGTTTGCATCTTTTTTGTTTTTCACTTTCAAATGTAACAGATTTTGACATTTTTGTTACATTTTTTGTACTAGTGGTTTTTTTTTTTATTTTTGAGAACCTGCTGGTTTTGAATTCTCTTTTTTCCCTTTATTCCCCTCCTCAATATGATCCCAGGAGCCAACACAAAGAAAAGCGCAGATGATATAACCAGTAATGATCGTGGTGAAGATGAAGGTATTTTTTGTTTTTTCAAAGCCTGACCCTGATGCATGAACATAAACTTTTCAATTTTTGTTATACTAAGAATGATTATTGTTATTATTATTGCTGTTATTTCAACATGATTTTTAGTCCCTTATTTGCAGAAGCTCACATCAGTGTGCTTCTTTATTTTCTTCTTTAGAATTTGCTTTGATTGTTTTTCTTTTTAAAATCTAAATTAGCATATAGATGACTGCAGTTCCTCCGTGACATAGGTGTAAAGTTCATTCCTAAATATGTGTGAAGTGAGTAACATAAATGTTATTTGAAACCACATATTTTTTCCCCTCTATTCTTTCTAGGCTGAGAAAATGGAATTTAAAAACATGCATGTGCTCTTTTCCCTCCTACACATTTTGTATATTCACTTGTTCGAAATTCATGAAACAGCTCACATATATCCTTCCTTTCACTTCCACTGTTTCCCCAGTGCACATGCTGTACATTGATACAGTTGAATTGTGCTTTGTCTTTGCTATTTTTATTTACTTATTTATATTTTTTTCTCACAGGATGTGGTTTATTTCAGGACACAAAAATAAAGGAAGCTGTTGATACTGCTTTATTGGGTTTTTTCCTGTAATCAGCTAGCCTCTGAGACACATTCATTCTGACTCTGACCACATTCCCACTGAAATCAGTAACAATCATTTTCATTGACTTCTTTCAAAGTTGGACTGGGTTTCCTGAATAAAATGTAAAAGTTCACAGTGAAGTACCCCAAAAAAGTTTTAGATGGAAGTGATTTTTTTTTCTTGTCTTGATGCAACAAATCTATTTAGGATGCACCAAAATAGAAAGAAGTCATGAAATCTTCCTCTATTCTCACCCTTCTTTTTTATTAAAGTTACATTGTCAGTTTACATGTATTTACCAAATTAAGAAAAAAGACATTTTCACATTAAATGAGAAGATAAAAATCCTGGATAGTTTATTGGTCTGGCTTCAAAGTGGCATGTCTTTCAGGCTTGGCCAATCCAAAGTGTTATTCTATGTATTTTTTCCCGTTTTTTTCCCATCTGACAAAATTTCAAATGACTTTGAAACATATGTCCTCTCTATTTCACTTAGAATCATACACAGTGCAGTGAGGATACTATCACTTCTTTTCCTGGAGTTCAGGTTTATTGTACTACTCCGTCTGTATACAAAATACCATATTAAAAACCTCAGGTCTTTGATTCATGCTGATTGCCCTCTACTCCACCACCTTCAGTGCTGAATTACACTCTTTCTTACAACACAGAAATACCGCACAGAGTGCTCTAAAATTACTCCGTTGCTTTCTGATTATCAGCTTCCTATTTCTGTTCAATATACGCTTTTTTTCAAACAATGGTAGTATCATTTCTATACCAAATTCTGAAGTTAATTTTAAAATAAAGGACAAATAACAGGCAAAACCAAAGTTGCTTTAAAAATAAAGATAAATACTAGATTATGAACACGTTACTATTCAACCTTTTTTAAAATTTATAAAATGTTAGTATTTCATGATTAACAAAGATATCCACTTTGGATCTAAGCATACAGAGCATCAAGCTAATTTCTTTTATGTTGAAAATAATAATGTTCCCATTGAAAAGGAAGGGGAAACCTTCTATTGACTTCATCAGTGAAAGATTCAACCCTGAGGTAGAATAAGGTAATAAGAAAAGATTAAAGGCAAAAAAAAAACGTGCCATGAGATTTTGGGAAGAGAAGGGAAAGGTAATTCAGCAACACAAATAATTACATTAAATAATTGCTGGTTTCAGGTTTTTTGAGGTCTTAGCTGTGCCTTTAGAGAAGAAGCACTTTTATATACTTTGTTGAAAATGCTGACAATTAAAAAAATACATTGACTAGAATGCACCTCATTGCTTTAAATGATCTGTTTAATTGCTGTACTACTCTTAAAGTCATAACAATTAAAAAGATCTTATCACAAAAACTTTTGTTCTTCTGCTCAAGTATACAATGTTTAAAATACAACATATAAGGATATATCTTTTTGTGGAAAGGAGGCAGAATCAATGACAAGCCTTAACTCTGACAAGTAGACAGGTGTACATTGCAGCCTGGACATTCCTGAATTCAGCTGGAAATTTGTGATATTTAAGGTATACACATGAGTAAAACAAAAGTGGGACACAGGAATGGGATAGTTAAAATATACATTTAAATATGCTCTAATTATTTCCACATATATAAAACATTGACTATCTGGTACCTGATTTTTGATCACATTTTTTATCTCAGTATTTCCTAATCAGCCTGAGGAGAGGGAGGATGTTTGGAAGATTTTCAAATGTAGATCCCTCACCTGTAGATATTTAGCTCAGCTTTTTCTTTGTCCACCTCCCTTCTCCACTCTTCAGTATATTCCTATCTAAAAGATTTTTTTCAAAACCTGCTTGAATAATCAGAGACTCTGCTTTTCCTTGTATGTTATGCTACATGCTTGAAAGAAGTGCTCTGATTCCATGCAGATAGACTGAATTATTTATAGAAGATTTGTATATCTAATGGTAGTTTGCTGAATTGCCTTCTACTTTATAGAGGAGCTTAACCTATCTTCACACTGTTTTTGTAGAGAACATAAGTTCCAGATTTAGGTATTCTGAATCATCACTGGCATCAAGAGCCGAACTTTTTAGATTAACCTACTCCCAAATATACCCCAATCACTGATTAGCACACCTTTAGAACTCACTATTAAATATGTAATATCAATTTCATTTAACTTTCTTTTAGAATTCTTTAAAATGTTTTCAATTTCATTGAACTTTCTTTTAAAGACCCAGCTGTTTATCTTTTTAAAAGTAGCCAGGAATTTTCTACCTATACAAAAGATCAGCAATACCATTAACTCAAGGTTATTCTTTGAGGCTTAGCTGCTGCCAGACCAGGAAAAGTGCAACACAAAAGACATAATTTGATTTAAATACAAAAAACGGTGGGACATAAATTCACATAAATCCTCTCTGTTAACTCCTAGGCTGTTTAAAAGAAGGAACAGTCTACTGTGTTATCTTCTACCAGAACAGTCAAATTTTTGCTATTATCTCTTATTGAACTACTTGGAATATAATTTCCTATAAGAAATGGGAAAGTATGGATTATTCCTATAATTTTATTACTAGATGCACAGATATTTCTAAATTGGTATATATTTGAATCCGAGTGTTCTAAAGAAACCAAGATTATTTCATAATTTGGTTTTTTAGGTTTTAAGACATTTTTACTAAAATTAAATTTCCTGTAATACTGAATGCATTTGAAGTGAGACCATTTTAGAGGAAATATTATTTGAAATTTTAAATTATAAATATTAGGCTTGTAGGATGGTCCTGAACTGTGTAAGCTAGTGGGTATAGAGGTGGTGACATTGAAAACATAGGAAGTAATTAAGACTGTTGTAAACACTATTAAAAATTACTAATGCCATTTTCCTTATGTTTTTATTGCTTTATTGTGTTTTCCTTACTTGCATTTTTTCAGACATTCATGATCAGAACAGCAAGAAACCCGTTATGGTCTACATCCATGGTGGATCTTACATGGAGGGTACTGGAAATATGATTGATGGCAGCATTCTCGCAAGTTATGGAAATGTCATTGTTGTCACTATCAATTACAGGCTGGGAGTTTTAGGTAAGTGACTCTTTTCTTCATAGAAATATTTGCAAAGAAATATTTGATTACTGGATTTTTCCACTGATCAGTCATAGATATTTGGCTCAGTTTTGATTTTAAAACTGAACAATCTCCGTGATGGATTTTGAATTGTCCATATTTTAATGGAAACTGGGCTAAACTACGTTATTTTTGACAACTGCCTTCACCTTAAAAAGAAATTGACTGGAAATGTATAATGTTTTGATAACTGGTATCTTTTTCTTAAATAATTTCTATTCTATGTTAAGAAAAAGAAGAAGAAAGTCAATCAAGAATGGGTCCTCACAGTTTTTAAACAGTTGGTAATGGCAAGAAAAAGGAAAATGTTATTTTTTATCTATATTTACTAATTTTGTGTGCAATTTGTTTCTTAGGGATACATACAAAAAATAAAGGCCATATACACACATATACAATCCATAATCATCGTGCATAGTATGTACCAAACTTTTGTCCAAAATAAGGCTTATTTATTTTTTGAGGTTCTGCTTTTCCATAGAAAAAATAAAACCTGAAAAATGGCAGAAAATGGCAGACATTAGAAATATTTGTTATCTTAGTGAAAAAGCTTATAGTTTGTATAGAACAGAATACAGAATGCTCAAATGCACATATTTCTGGCATTTTAGGTACACAGAGTAAGGTACAGTAATTTTCTTTGTGTGTCTTTTTACAAGGACTTTTGATCTTTTTTTCTTAATAGCAAAGCTGACCTATTTTCATGGTAGGTGCTGTTTTGGAACACAGAAGTCTTCTGTTGCTGTGTTATCTGTTCATGCTGTTCATGTTTTTCAACAACTTTATAGTTCATGAGAGTAATGAGAATTTTTTTACTTGTCCCCGATTTTGAGTATTCATTAAATATAAAAGAGTATTTCTTTCTATGATGAAAAGAGATTTAAATTTAAAGTCAGAGATATAAAAATATATATTGGTATATTTATGCATGCAGTCTTGGTACTCAGAAACACCCAAACAAACAAAAAAGCCCTGAATAAACAAACCAAACCAAACAAAAAAAACCAAAACCCACACAAAACAACAAAAACAAACAAAAAACCAACTAAACAAACAAAAGAGCAAGAAAGGAAGAACTGAAGACACAAGAAAACAAATTGCTGTTTTGCTCATTGTCAAACAACATGTATACCCAGAATCTTGTTAGTTATTTATCTGTAAAAAAGATTATTTAATGTGTCTCTTTAAAAAGTTTTCTCTTGGTTTTTGAAACTAACATTGTTGAAGGATACAAATAAGTGCAAACCACTATAAGTGGTGTAAAATGTTTCATTGTCCCTCTGTATTTTATAAATCTAAAGGGAAAAGTGCAATATTTGGCTTGGTGATCTCCTATTTTATGTATTGATATTGAAATCAAACAAAATAGAAGGGTCAGAATTCTACTTTTTTATAATTGTGCAATTCAGGCAAAAAAGGCACAAAACAGGGGCATTTATATGAGAAACAGAAAAGTAATACTAGCCAAGATTTTAAGTGGGTTAGGAAAAACACATATGTGTATTGACATTAAAGATTGCTTCTCAACAGTGGCAAATGTAACTTTCAAGACTATGGAATTTATTCTTTATTACAAAAGTCTATGTTTGAATTAGAAAAATGGAAGATATTCAGAAAATGTGTACACACTTAAAAATCAGAGGAAATCTGTATGAACATATTTATATTTTTTCCTTCTGGGTGAAATGTAAATGTGATCATTAAAATGTGGACATTGGAAGATATTAGGTGAATTCCATGTATTTTTTACTTGCTTCATGAGTTAAAAAACAGAAAAAGAAAACACACATTTCTTCAGAAAAACAGCCCTGTGTAAAACCAACATGACTATTCATAAGAGTTTAAAAAGTAGTGTCCTTTTATGACATATGGTTTGAATACTAACAATATTTGTATCCCTTTCTTCTAGTCTGGGTTACTGGAGGTCATATTTCTGTAATTCTGGTGCATTTCAATGGTGCTTGATTTGTAAGTGCATACACAAAATCACATACAAACCTGTTGTTAACGACAGAGATCCATAATTCTATTGCTATTATCTCACCCTGTAATGAAGGATTATAGATCTAATTGACCACAGTGCTGAATTGCTGGAGATGCTAAATTCCTCTGGAAAATTCACTTGAATTGACATGAATACTGGATCTTATACTCTCCATAAATGTTAGTACTGTTCTTGCGGCGCATTAAATTATTTTTCTTTCAGTCTATAGTGTGTCCTTAATAGCAGTAGATAGAAAAAAATATTAGGACCACACAGATAACCACTGGATGATCTTAGACAGACAAATCATAGAACCAAGAAATGGTTTGGGTTCAAAAGAATCTTCCAAGACCATCCAATCCAACCCTGATGCCATGGGAAGGGATGTCAGTTACATCAGGCTGCTCAAAGCTTGCTCCAACCTGATCTTGAACACTTCTAACAATGAAGAATCCTCAGCTTGTCTAGGCAACTTGTTCCAGTGTCTCCCCACCCTCATAATAAAAAATTTCTTTTGCCCCCTGTTCTGCCACTGTAGGCCTGGTTAAAAGTTTCCCCATCTTTCTTGTAGGCACCCTTTGTATATTGCAAGGCTATAATGAGGTCTCCTAGAAGCATTTTCTTCTCCAGGTTGAACAGTCCCAGTTCAGCTTTTCTGACCATTTTTGTGGCCCTCCTCTAGAGCTTCCTTAACAGGTCTGTGGCTTTCTTGTTCTGGAGTCCCCAGAGCAGGATGCAGCACTCCTGGTGGAGTCCTACAAGACCAGAGTAGAGGGACAGGATCACCTCCTTCAGCCTGCTGGCCCCACTGCTTTTGATGCAGCCCAGGATGTGGTTAGTTTTCTGGGCTGCAAGTGCATATTGCTGTCTCTTGTCCAGTATTTTCATCCACTGTTATCCCCAAGCCATCTCATTCATCTGTTGGTAAAATACTGGTGGTACAGTGGTAGTACAGGACCTTGCTCTTGGCTTTGTTGATTTACTTGAGGTTCTACTTTGTTGATCTACTTGAGGTTCCCACTGGTCCACTTTTCAAGCTTTTCAAAGTCCTTCTGCATGGCATCCCTTCCCTCTAGTACATCTATGGACATCATCTTTGTGTTATCCACACGCTTCCTGATGGTGCACTTAATCCCACTGTCTGTGTCCTTCATGAAGGTATTAAATAGTATTGGTCCCAGTATGAACCTTTAAGGGATACCACTGGGTATTGCTTTGCATTTGGATATTTATCTGTTGACTGTAAATTTTGAGTACATGGCCATTCAGCCAGTTCATTATCCATGTCATGGATTGACACTGGTACAGTGCTAGTGCCTTTATGAAAGGTGTATCCCTTAAAATGGTTGCTGTGAGATGTGACCTGGGAACAGAACAAAGCAGGCTCTAACTTGGGAATGGAGGGAAAAGACAACACTTTATTAATCTACACAGACACGAAAAGGAAGGGGAAAACTACATACACACAACAATCCACAATAGAATACTTTCAAAACACTCCTCCTCCTCCTCCCCCCAGTCCTCTAACATTCAAATCCCCTCTAATACATTAATTCTCAATCCAATACCCTCCTTTCACACAAGCACCCCCCAGTCCATCAGGAGAGAGAGAAGTCTCCCTCTTTCGCCATCGGCTTCCCCCTGGAAACACAGTAGAACTTCTGTGCTTCCATGTCACACACAGCAGCTGCTCGAAGAGAAAATCTGCCATGGTGACCGTCTCCCCTTCCATGTCCAGTGCTCTCACCACTGTCCATGGATCCAAACTACTCCTTAGGTTTTTTAAGAATGCTTTCCGCCCAGTTCCAAGACGTGGCCGCCTCTCACCATTTGGGACTCCTGTCCCCCCCATATTCACTCCCCTGGGGCCTGGGGCTCAGGAACGGAGATTCTTCGCTGAAGGCCGAGGGTTCACCACACCCTCCCCCTCAGTCTCTGTTCCTTCGACTTCTCCTCGCGGCCTTATCATTCCTGGCGCCTGGCCAGCCGCCTCCCCCAAGGAGCAGTCTCTGCATTAACGGAAGAAACTGGCTTCACCCGTGGCTATGTAAGAGAAAAGTCCGGCCCAAAGCCACTCCAATCATCTCCTCCATCTCGGGTGCTCATCTGCTGGCATTCTTTCCCTTACTCAAACCTTCTTCATCTTTCCCCTCCTCCATCCCTTCTCAGTTTCCAGCTGAAGAGGATCAGTGTTTTTACAGCTTCTATTGTTTCAACACTAAAAGGGTTAAAAGCACAGCCTGTCCTGGCAGCGGCTGGGCACCTTGCCCACCCCTTCTCCTCCCGACCGCTTATCCTTCTCTCCGGGGGGAGCTGCCCAAACCATCCTAAGAACTCCTCCACCCTTGCATCTCGCAGCGGCTCCGGCTTCCCTTTCTCAGGCCGCAGGCCTTCCGCCCGCCTCCCCCACCCAGACGCAGCTGGGCAGGGGAGAGGATTCGATCTGCTCACTTGCCGGACTCTAAAAAGGAAGTCTCTCTAAGAGTACTCTGCTTTTAACTCCTGTATGTTCTCAGAGGCGTATCCACATCTCCAGTGGCCACACCAGGTGCCAATCTAAAATTTAGCCACTGATTGGTTTGACCATAACTTCCTAAAACCTTACTTCTGGGTCAAACCATGACATCCATCCAACGGTCCATCCATAAAATTCATATTTCTTCAATTTCTTGTCAAGAATATTATGGGGGATCTTGTTAAATTTCTTAAAAGCATCCAGGCAGATAACATGCAGTCAATAACATCAACTGTTCTTTGCTTGCTACTGATGGAGTCACATTATTGTATATGGCCTCTTATTATTGTAGCTAAGGCTGACACAATTTGCTCTTGGTGAAGCCATGATGCTGTCTCTAGTCACATTTATGTCTTGCATATGCTTCAGTATAACTTCCATAAGGATCTGGTTTATGACCTTATTGGGCGTGGAGGGGAAGCTGACTGGTCAGTACTTCCCAGGATCCTCCTAAGTATC